AAATAAATTCATTTAATTGATCAAATGTAAAAAAAATAGACACTCAAAAGTTTGTATAAGCAGTACGTTTTTATATATGCAACATTAATAATTTAATATGATAATTAAGTGTGTTCCATGTTTATCTCTTAAAATAATTGATATTGACCCCCCCTTCCCCGATACTACTGTTAGACAGACCTTTCAAAACAATTTTCTTATCGCTGCATTGGCTGACAAGATTCCCAGGTACTACACTGATTTCATTAATAAACATGCCCCCATCTTTACTGATAATAAGGACTCCTTTGTCTGGAAACCTAATAGGAAAGGTTCTTTTTCTTTTAAGAGTGCCTATGATGTAATCCGCCCTAAAATGAATAATATGCCAAATTCTAAGTTTATTTGGAACTCTAAAATTCCCCTCAAGATCTCTTTTCTCCTCTGGAAAATGTTCAACAAGTTGTTGCCTTTTGAAAATAAACCCCAATCCTTCGGGATCCTTGGTCCCTTCAAATGTGTGCTTTGTAATAACGTTGACACTATGGATCACTTCTTCCTTCACTGTGCCACCGCGGTAAATGTTTGGAGGCATTTTGAAGTCCTTTTTCATTTCCATAAAAATCAAAATGGCGGCGTCAATGAGTACATTAATCATTGGTATTTTGACTTTAAAGGACCGATCAAAGATTTAAACTTTTTAGTTCCTAATATCATTATTTGGAATCTTTGGAAAATTCGTAACACTTTATTTTATGATGATAGAATTATCACTAGCACTGAGGCTATCACTCTTATAAGGAAAGATCTCTATCTAACCTCGGTTGCCAGGCCCCTGAAGACTACCTCCCCCTCACCATACAATATCCACCTCCTTACTAAGAATACCCCTAAATTAAACACTACCCACCTTTGTCATTGGATCAAGCCCAACTCTAATTATATCAAAGTGAATATTGCTTCTCGGCCTGTCCATATGAATTTTGTTAGGACTGGTTTGATTTTTCGAGATAATAATGGCAACTGTAAAGGGCACGCCGCACACACTTTGCAGAAATTGGACCTTACGTGTGCTCTCTATAAGGCCATGATCTACTTTAGACCTCTTTTCGAAACATTAATCCAAACCAATTTTATTATTGAACTTGATAATGTACAGGTTTGTAATGCTATACGTGGAGAGAGTTTACATCACTGGACCCATTGGACACATATCTGCCTAATTCGAAGACTCTACAACGGTCATCGCTTCACATTTTCATATATTGATCCGGGTGTCAATAGAGCAGCAGACAACATCGCCTACAATAAGATCCAGATAAAAAGATCACAAAATCACTTTAATCATTTTGTAGGCATTCTCAAATTTGATGCTATTAGTTATTCGTATGCAATCTAGTATTTTTCTTGGTAGGCTCGGCATTATGTCCTCCTACTATGTATCTTTCCTTATTAATAAATAGGTAGGGTGTTCCCCAGTCCCTACCCCATCCTCGTATGGTGTGCACTGGGATTCAAATATATATATATATATATATATATATATATATATATAGGAAATCTTTCCGGTAAGGTATACCTTACCGGAGCCGCCGTGCGGCCTCCGCGTTTTGAGGGCCTTCCCGATGGAATTTTTCGATGAAATTTTGTGAGCATGTTCTTCATCAAGTCTAGTACATCCATACCAAATTTCAGCAAAAAATTCAATCGGGAAGGCAGCCAAAAGATTTTTGGAAGATAACTGCGTTTTATATGTATATAAAGGGTGCAGTTATCTTCCAAAAATCATTTGACTGTCTTCCCGATTGAATTTTTTGCTGAAATTTGGTATGGATGTACTAGACTTGATGAAGAACATGCTCAAAAAATTTCATCGAAAAATTCCACCGGGAAGGCCCTCAAAACATGGAGGCCGCACGGCGGCTCCGGTAAGGTATACCTTACCGGAAGAGTTCCCTATATATATATAGGGGAAAGATCAAGTACAAAGTGTGCTTATTGTGCAAATATTTGTACGATGCACCTTGACGTTATTTGCATTGCATATTGATGTTCAAAGTGTTGCACATTATAAAGTCATAAAAATAACAGTTGCACATTAAGGTGCAACGAGTTGCACCCTAAAAAGTTGGGTTTTATTACAAAAATGACACCTTGCCTTTATGTCCTTTAGATCAACTCATCGGACGGTCAAGATGAGTTTGTACTTTGTAAATTAAGAAGGCTTTGTATTTGATCTCTATTCTATATATATATATATATATATATATATATATATATATATATATATATATATATATATAGATATAGATGTTTTTTAAAGTGTTAAATTATTTTTTAGTTTTTCTATATTCAATATTGGTGTCATTTGAAAGGTAATAAAAAATTATAAATTTTGATATATTTTTTGTAACAATCGGAGTAAAAATAAAAATGTTATAACACTTTAAAAAATCATGAGATTTTATTTTTGTGGGACTACTAAATAATAGGAATTGTAGTTTAGTTGAGTAGTATTTCTATATGAAATACAGTGTGTATAGCTAACTTTTATATATAGATTCCTTTAATTTAGAAAGTGATGTCATAATATTAATTGTGGATGTGACATGTGGCAATATTTTCCATAATTGTAACCTTCAAATGTATTATATATAGATATAGATATAGATTGAGAATATTACCTAAAATAGGACTAAAAGTGTTTGAGAATTCCGAAATAGGACTGTCGTGTTTTTATTCTCAAAATAGGACTAACTACTGTCATGTTTTGGCAGTACCAGACTTCAAACATGGCAGTATTTTCCAAATTTGGCAATAATTACTCCTATTTTGGGAATAAAAACATGACAGTCCTATTTTGGAATTTTCAAACTGTTTTAGTCCTATTTCGGGAACTTTCCCATATAGATTTAACTTTTCTAATTAATTCCAACCCCCCAAAACACTCGGTCCAACCCGCCTACCACCAAAAAAAATTGAAAAAACCAAAAAAAAAGTTTTGGGGCCGGGCCGGGCCCGGACCGGCCAGGTCGGTTCCAAAGGAGGTGCAGCCTGGAACCGCCCCAACAATCCCCCTGGGCCGGTCCGGTCCCGCACAGTGACGGTCCGGTCTGGTTCCCAGGCCGGTCAGTCCGGAACCAGGCCAACCCTAAGTAGGACTTTGATATTTTTCTTAACAAGGGGGTCAAATGTGAGAATTTAGTCGATTTATTAAGGCCATCACTTTCCCACTTCCTCCATTGTTCTGCATGGTAAAGGAATTTTAAGTTAATGTTTACCATTCCACTCAAACTAATGGGTGCTTGTCATGATGGAAAATTAATGGGTGACAAGTGTTTATTTACATCATAACAAACACCTGTTTAGTAAATATCACATAGAACAAATATAAGCAAACTCCTTGACATCCAGAGACAATCTTTTCTCTAATAGGAAAGACTTGCATAGTATTGATGTAAAAAGGTTTGGCTAAATGGTCAAATACGCACTCGAACTAACTTAAAAAGTGCAATTCACCCCTCATTTTGGAGGCTATGTCCGGCCGTCACCAATTGGAGCGGTTCCCGGTGGAATTTTTTGATGAAATTTTTTGAGCATCTTCTTCATCATTAAGTATAGTTTACCGAATGATTTTGAGCATCTTCATTAAGTATATTTTTGAGCATCTTCTTCATTAAGATAAAAATTCAACTGGGAAGACATTCAAATGATTTTCTGAAATGTATTGCGTTGTTTAACTGTGCAGTTATTTTCAAAAATTCATTTGACTGTCTTTACGATGGAATTTTTAGCTAAAATTTGGTATGAGAAAACTAGACTTAATGAAGAGCTCAACAAATTTCTAAACAAAAAATTCCACCGAGAGCCGCCCAATTGGCGACGGCCGAACAGAGCCTCCTATATAAAGGGTGAATTACACTTTTTAAATTAGTTCGAGGGTCCCTATCATTATTCATGCTTCATAGAGCGAGAAGAAGGCTCACTTATTTCCAATAGAGGATACATGAGACTCCGATACAAAGGACAATATGCTTGTCTACTCATAAGATATACAAGAAAAAGCATCAATGATCACATCTTATGAGAACTAGATCAAATCGCACGTGGAGTTCTACCAACTTGACTAAACACTTGGGGTTCTAGGGAGGGCTTGTCATATGTTGTAATTCGGTTAGGTGATTTGTTTCCCTTTCTTCCGCTTGTTTGTGTTTCTTGTTGGTCATTTCTTATTTCTTGTTTTCAATAATAATACTACGTAGTTGATAGTTTCATCAACAATATATATAGAGAGATTAAAGATCAAATGAGAATAAGGCTTAACGTGAGAACGTGAGAACACCACATTTACTCCGATGTGATGCACAATGAGGCTCGCCTAATGCACTTTTTCACGTTCAACGTAATATTTTCCAAAATGCCACCGTTATTATTTATATTGGCTTTTTTGGAGCAAATGTGCATCAGACGGGCTCTATTGTGTATCACATTGAGTTAAATATGAGTGTTCTCACGTTAAGCATCACTCTCATTGGAACTGCACCATATATATATATATATATATCACACAAATAGTCTGGTCCGGAATTTCCTGACCAGAGCCCTGTTAGGCAAACTCATTTTGAGGTGGTCCTCGATGGTATTTTTTACTTAAATTTGGTTGCATATTTTCCATAAGTGATCTCCATCAAATTTGAGCAAAAATTTCAATTGGGAAGGCAGTCAAGCAGTCAAATAATTTTTGGGAGATAACTGCGCTTTATATGTAAATTTTGACGTCGTTATCTTCCAAAAATCATGGTCCCAAAAATCATGTGACTGTTTTCCCGATTGAATTTTTTGTTCAAATTGGGTGTAAATCATCTACACTTCATGAGAATTGAGAAACATGCTCAAAAAATTTGAGCAAAAAATATCATCGAGAACCACCTCAAAACAAGGTGGGCGGACGGGGCTCTGGTCAGGAAATTCCTAACCAGAATACTACTCTCTCTCTCTCTCTATATATATATATATGATGGGTCAAGCCCATTAGTGTAGTACTAATGGCATTATTTTTGAAAAAAATACATATCATGAAATGCGTACTATACGAGTTACAAATGTGAAATCTACATCTTTAAATATTTATAGAAAGAAATCAACTAGCTGTAATAGACATATATTTACTTTTCACTGCACCTATTTTCTTCATAAACTAAACAATAGCACCCTACAAATATCTGAATAGTTTCATGAGATCCAGCTTGTGAAACATTTGGGACGAAGTAACCGTCAACAAAATGCTGTACCCCACTAGATATTGATTTCTTCTCAGAGAAAGGTTCATCTTTATGATCCACAGGCAATTTTGCTCATTGTACTTGAATTGTCAAGTCTCCAGGGAAGCATTATGGAAATTGGCAAGGAAATAAATTCGATCTTCATCACCTCTACAAGTATTTATTTTTTCATTTGCCTTTTTTGGTTGCTCAATTTGACCATTTGTATTGGCCTCCTCAGGTAGTGATATCATTCTCCTTTTAGGTTTCCTTTTAGACTTTTTGTTCTCTAGCCAATTGGCCTCTTGCACCACAAAATCTACCACTTCAGTATCTTTTCTAGCACAGTCAGCTCCTTGAACCTCCACTATGTAGCTATAATTTCCTTCAGTATATGCGTCTGATGTATGTTCATCATTTTGATTCAAAGCAATTTGTGTTTCAGGTAGACAGCATTCATCACCACTTTCAATGAGATCTCCAGTAACTGACTGGTCAACCCAAGATTTGGCCTGCTTATATTGAATGGAATCTTCCTCGCTGCAACTTGTATCGCTATCAGAAGATTCTACCGAAAGAGATTCTGTAGAAAGCTGCAGAAATTCTTCTTCCAGATTGAGTCGTCTATGCAGAATATCCTCTTTGTAATGAGGAGGGGATCCAGTGCTAGTGAAGGATGAATGTGTATCAAGAAAATAACTCGCTGCAGCATTTTTATTGCCACTTATCTTATCACCCTCTGCGTTAACAACAGAATCAGAAGAAGTTATTCTAGCACTCACAGGCAGACTTACTTCATTGCTTGACGAATTGACATTCTCTTGTTCCTTCCAGAGTTCCATAACATTTTTTGAAGATGCTTCCCCTATATGTGTAGAGTATCTTCGTGCATTACAACCAATTGATCTCTCTGCAAAAGAGGTTTCTGGTTCTAGAACATTTGTACAACTAACATTTGAGGTCTCACCTTGCTGCTTAATGCTAACCTTTCCTTTCCGTTGATGACTTCTTTTAGAATTTAAATTGGGCCCTATACCTTCAATACAGCCAAAGAAATCGTCAGAATCACGATCCATCCAATCTTGGAACTCCTGCAACCAGAGATCAGACCGTTTTTTCTTCATAAGTTCGATCCTGTTCATTAAGTCAACAATTTCAGATTCCTGGTCAGAATTGGCACTCCCCACTTTGCTGTGAATGTCATTATCACAAGATACGGAATCTTGATCTGATAACAGGAATGCGATATCTTCATTTTTAATGCTAACCAGTCTGGACACCTTCTTCTGAAAATGTTTTCATAACATAAATGCAAAATAAGCAATGTTACAGATTGAAGAGAAACTAGAATCCAGGTCCCTAGGCTATACCGTTCGGAAAAGGATTACTCACCCTTTTTGTATTTATGGCTCTTAGGTCAGCACCATCTCTTGCTGGTGCATAGAATCCAAAGCTAGCAGGTTGTTTCTGCCTACCGGCAATAATAACTTTTCTCTTCCACAAGTCACTTGTGGTAGGATTTTCTTCATCTAGTTTCAACTGGTACACACACATGACATAGAAAGGAAGGGGGTGTAACGTATAATGTTGCTAAACGTGGCATACTAATTGCACACTCCTTTTGTCCCTAAATGCTCTTCTCATTTACTTTTTACACACGAAGTAACACAGTGAAATTGTGATTATGTGGCTGAGATTTATTTAAGAAATGAAAAAATCAATATCAACCACAAAATTATTTACTTTTCTGGATGACCAAAAAATGAAGGTAGGAGCAACGTTTAGGGATGTGGAGAGCAAGTATGGGATCAAGTTTATGAAAATGAGAATTGGAAGCTTAAAGAAATTGTGATTCTGAAAAACATACTTGGTGGGGATGGGGGAAAAAGGTGAAAACTTGGGCTCTATACCATCTTGCGCAACAAATAGGATTTCCTTCTAACCACAAGTTTTGAAGAGATGAGAGTTCGGAAAGGACTTCAATCTCTGAGAAATTGGATATTACATTGTTGGACACATCGAGTCCAACTAGTGACTTCAGATTCTCAATTCCATGCAATGTAGTCAAAGTATTGTTCCTCAATACAAGCTTGAGAATGCAACAAGAAACCTGAATAAAACATTGGGATGTGTTAGTTTAATATAGACCACTAACTAGAAAAATGTACGCCCCATCCACTTAGTCTTTTAAGTCCTACATATACAGCTACTGTGGGCCATCTAAACTAATCCATGGTTGGCAGTAACATTTAGAATTGGTTGAGTTGAGAATCCTTTTAAACCAAGTAAAGAAAGGACTTTTCAAGGGTAATCACTAATCATATGCTAGTCATGAATCCAACGCTTGGGGTATGTTTGGGAGTTGAAGAGTGACTTTGGAAGGGGTTTGGAAAGGAAGGAGGGTTGTTTATTAAAGCCCTTGTTTCGACCTCAACCTGATATTTTAGCACTGGAAGAGATCTAAAAGCAAACATTTTAGATTATTAAGTGAACTGTTCTCCATATATGATTTATGACAATGAATAAAGGAAAATGCTAACAAGTAACAACAAGGCCATATCTAAGAAAGATAAAATATTTTAGAACTTCTATAATAGATATTCACTTTTTGAATAGTCAATGTGGTTATTTGATGAATTTTTGCTATTCGAATGTTCAAAACTCTTCAAGTGATTTAGTTAATTTATGAAAATTATGAAATTAAGCGGGAGTGTGTGCTCAAGTCGTGAGGGGTTTGAAAGTATTCATGACAAACATGGTTTTGACACTAGAAATAAAGCAAAAAACATTTTGAATTTAGCTTCGACGTATAGGTTGGCCATAATGAACATTTGGTTCAAGAAAAGAGACGCTCACATTGTTACTTATAGAAGTGGAGCTAACAGTACCCAAGTTAACTACTTTTTAGTAGACACTACTTGAAAAACTAGCTACTCTGGTGATAAGGCTATCCCAGCCTTCCAAGGTGAGAGAGGTGAGAGTGTTGTTACTCAGCATAGAATGTTTGTGCTTGATTTTTAAGATAAAAAGCTTAAAAGGCAGGTTAAGCAACGAGTGGCGCCAAAGATAAAATGGTGGAGGTTCGGGGATCTCCAACAAAACTTTGCACACAAAATGTTTCGTGAAAATATATGGTGCATGGATAATCAATGACGCATATGTGGAAGAAATGTGATTATGAATGGAGCAGACAATTAACAAAGAAGCAAAAGAGAAACTTGAATAATCTAAAGAATGTCTACCACCAAAAAAGACACATCTTGATGGAATGATACAGTGAAGCAAGCTATATGGAACAAAAGGGAATGTTACAAAAAAAGTTGGGAAACAGTTGAAGGGATGAGAACATAGAAGAGCACAATGAAGCTTTAAGAAAAGTTAAGAAAATTGTGAAGGAAGCGCGAGGGAAAGTGAACAAAGAGTTTTATGTAGAATTGGACTCTAGGGAATGAGAAAAAGATATTTATAAACTTGTTTGTCTCCGTGATCGTAGGACTCACAATATCGAAAATGTTAAATGTGAACACTATCGATCAAAGGGTACTAATAGAGCACGAGGAAATAAAAGAAAGATGGAGGTCATACTTTGATACCTTGTTCAACGAGAATAAAATGCAAGATTTTGGTTATCTTATTATACAAGATTTTATGGTAAATCGGGACATTATGAGAAAGATCCAAAAGACAAAAGTTAAAGAGGCTCTGAGAAAGATGGGGCAGAAGAAAGCAGTGAGTCCAAATGTCATACCGATCGAGGCCTGGAAAAGTTTGGAGGAGAAAAGCGTCAAATGGTTAACACGATTCTTGAACAAGATTTCGAGAAAAAATAAAATGTCACCGAGTTGGCGGAAGAGTACTCTTATTTCCCTAGTTAAGAATAAGGGTGTCGTTCAAGAATGTCCTAACTATTGAGATATTAAGCTTATGGGTCACACCATGAAACTTCGAAAGTGAGTGATTAAGCAAAGGCTCTAAAGAAGTGTGAAAATTTCGAAGAATCAATTTGATTTTATGTCTGGTTACTATACAACTGTGGTCATTCACTTTCTTAGGCAACTTCTGTGGAAGTATAAGCTGTATAAAGAAGAACTTACAAGGATCTGCATTTGGTGTTCATCGACTGAGAAAAAGCATATGATAATATACCTCGACAAGTCCTTTGGTGAGTCTTAACTAGAAAAGGCATATCAAGTAAGTATACAAATATCACCATGAATATGTATGAGCATTATACTACATGTTTGATGGGGGACAGACTGGTTTTACTTCTAGACTGTTCCACCAATATCATTTTATAATTCTTCATCTTACACACATGTTCTCTTCCCCATTTATTAATGCATTTGAAATAGAGTCCCTTCCTACTCCTCTCTAGTAACTCTTCTTGAGACAATTTAGGGCCACTTCTTTTACTATTCTGATCTTTAACATCCCTGTTAATGTTGTTGTCCTCCGTCCCCTTGGATACACTCAAAGGATTGCCTTGGTAAGCTTTCCAATTCTTACCATCACCCCAATTCTGAGTTCTATTCTATAATTTCTTCCTTCCTTCCTCTTTGTTCCTTACAATCATGGTTTCCATATTCTTGTTTTCAATTAAGGTAGTTATATCCATTACTCCTGCCAAGGATTTTGCAGAATATAACTTCAATTCAGCCCTGATATCTCTCCTTAATCCCTTCAGAAAAATTCCTCTCAAAACTTCTTCAGTTAGGTGACCTTGAAAAGCTATGGCTGTCTCAAATACAGTCCCCTTCTGCATGAACAAAGGCCGACCCTAGAGGATCCTGCACCATATCAGGTTGAAAACGCCTAGCCAGAGCTTTCGTAAATGTGTTCCAGTTCAGTCGTTGAGCTTGTCCCTCCCACCATTGGAACCAGCTCAGAGCTTGGTCTTCCATGGCCACAACCGCAACATCAATTTTGTCATCCTCAATCTGATGGGCAAACTGAGGTTGTTAACAGATGCTTAGAAACTTATTTGAGATGCATTACTGGAAGAAAACCTAAGGAATGGACAAAATGGTTACCATGGGCAGAATATTGGTATAACACCAATCATCATGTTTCACTAAAACAGACTCCCTGCCAGGCCTTATATGGACAAGAAACTCTCGCAGTTGTTAAGGGAGATGTAACAAATACTGTTGTGAATGAAGTAGCCAGATTAACAGAAGAGAGGAATGGAATGCTAGCTGAGATAAAGGAGAACTTAGCTATTGCTCAGAATAAGATGAAACAGCAAGCTAATAAACACAGAAGAGAAATGAAGTTGGAGGTTGGAGAACAAGTGTTTCTAAAAATTCAGCCCTACAAAATGCATAGTCTGGCTAGGAGAAGAAACCAAAAGTTGAGTCCCAGGTTTTATGGACCTATTGAGGTCATTGAAAAATTGAATGATGTAGCCTTTAAACTGAAGTTACCAGAGAATTGTTTAATACGTCCAGTTTTCCATGTATCTTTTCCATGTATCTTTACTGAAGAAGGCTCTAGCTCCTAACACTGATTGTCAACCTTTACCTAAGGGGTTGACTAAAAATTGGGAGCTACAGGTGTTGGGAAGAGATACAAGGGTTAAAAGCACAGTTTCCTGGCTTCCAGCTTGAGGACAAGCTTGATCTTCAGCAGGGGAGTATTGATGGGGGCCAGACTGGTTTTACTAATATAAAAATTTTTTTGGGCCAAGTCTATTCTAGAAGGAGGAACCTGACTAGTTAGTTATTAGTATATTGTTTTTAACTAATAAGGACTTTGGGTAGAACTGGAGGGTTAGATATAAATAGAATAAGTCAGGACAAGAAAGGTAGGCTGTTAGACTCAAGGTCTTGGACTGGGAGATTTGAGAAGTCTGATTCTCTTATCTTAGGAGCTCGGATAAACTGTATTCCTTCTCTAATAAAGTGAATTGTTGATTGTGTTGAATTCCTTTATTGTTTTGAGTGTTGATTGTTGTAGTTTGTGATTACAATCTGTGCGAGTTCTAACAAAGTTTCTGTACTAGTGAAGGGAGGACTGTTGAGTTCCCTATTACTATCGGAGCTTATGAGTCACACCCTGAAACTTTGGGAGCAAGTGATGAGCAAAGGCTCCAACACGTGTGAAGATCTCGGAGAATTAATTCGATTTTATGCCTAGTAGCTCAACAAACTGAGTATAGAGACACTTATAAGGATTTGCATTTGATGTTCATTAACTTAGAAAAGACATATAATTGAGTACCTCGAAAAGTCCTTTGGTGGGCCTTAACTAAAAAAGACATTATGTAAGTATATAAGTATCATCATGGATATGTATGAGAATTGTACTACAAGTGTCCGTACTAGTGTAGGGAGAACTCCAGAGTTCCATATAACTATCGGAGTGCACCAAAGATTGACCATGGGTCCTTTCTTATTTGATATAGTCATGGATGAACTCATGAAATCAATTAGAGAATATATATCGTGGTGCATGATGTTTGTCGATGATATTGTATCGATTGATGAGTGTTAAAGCAAATCTGGAAGCATGGCAACAACTTTAAAGAACGCGGGTTTAAAATTGGTCAGTGATATGTTCTATTACTTGGCTCCATAATTCAGAAAAACGGTGAAATAGATATGAATGTACCACATGGAATCAAAACAAAGTGGATAAAATGGAAGATTATTCAGGATTCTATGTGATCGAGGTATGCCGACTAGACTAAAAGCTAAGTTTTATCGGACAACAATTAGACCTGCATTACTATATGACATAGAGTATTGGACAGTGAAAAAATACCACACTCAAAAGATAAATGTTGTTGAGATGTGCATAACTGCATATTGCATTGGATGTGTGAAAATACTAGAAAAGGTTGATTGAGCAAAAAGAGTATAAGACAGTCACACAAAAGGTGGGAGTAGCACCTATTGAAGATAAGACGTGAGAGTCTCGATTCCAGTTGTTTAGTCGTGTGAATAGAAGACCGCGTGATGCACTAGCTAGACGAGTTGAGCAATCGGGAGAAGAGGCAAGAAGGATAGGAAGAAACGGACCAAACCGTGGACTAGAGGAATAAGAAGTGATATGTTTCTTCTTGGGTTGGATGAGAGTACGAGTTTGGAGAGAGTAAAATGTAGGGAGAATATTCGTATGAATGCTTAATTTGTTTTCATCTTTTTAACCTTTTACCTTTTTATCTTCTTTATCTTTCTTATGTTCTTTATTTCATCATTTGCAATGGAGTCAAAGACTTACTATTTTTTGTTTGGGAATATGACAGAGTGAAACAAAATGGCTCACCAAACTGTTTGTGCTTCTTTGTTATGAAGTCGTCGTCTCTCTTTGTTAGTGCATGGGTAAGGTTGCGTACATCTGAACCCCCTTACCTCACCGTAGATGAGAGCCTTTGCGGCAATGGGGTAATGATGATGATCTTTCTTATGTGCTTTATCATTTTTATCTTATATTTTTTTATCATTTTTATCTTCATCTTATATTTATCCTTATCTTATCTTTATCTAATTTTTTTTACTCCCTCCGTCTCATTTAAAGGTTCTCGTACACTATTCTCCGGTCAACGTGCATTGTTCTTAATCTTTTACTTTATGTATCGAAAGTTTATGAAATTTAAATTATTTTTTGCAGGTTTTGTAGCGGTTTTAATGTAGTTTCTGAATATGTAAATTTTATTTACTAAAAGTAATTCTATTAATGACAGGGATTAGTTAACTTTATCGTCAGTCAAACATCGTAAATCGTGTGAGAACCTTAAAGTGGGACAGAGGGAGTATCTTTTTATCTTTCCTTATCTTTTTTATCTGTCTTATCTTTCTTATCTTTTTCGCTCCGCTTTCATGTGTTGATTCACATTAGTCAACCCCGAACTCTTGGGATTAAGGCTTGCATGTTATTGTGGTTGTATGAAAGTTATGACTTTGATGGATTTTAAAAGATCATGAATTTTGAAATCGGAGGGGAGTCTACATGATTGTAGTGAAATGTTTTTGTATGTAAAAATCCACCAAAATCCATTAAAATCCATGTGAATAAGTAATAATAGAAATCCATAGAATGTTAGAAGATATCCTGATTTTCATAGATTCTACAGAAATCTAAATCGGGGACACCTAAATTCTGACGGAATTCTAAACTCTATTAAAATCCTCTGGGATCCATATTGGGGACACCCCTTAAACGTACCCTAAGAGATGTGGTTAGCACCACCCATAAATAAGTGGCAAAGGTATTTTTATACTAAATTACTCCGTACTGATTAATCATTTTATATCTTTTACTTTGAAAATTCTAAAGTCCACTGTTTTTAATGAAAACCAAGCCTTCTGTCAGTCTGTCCGTTCAAATCCTTCCAAAACTCAACTCACAAACACAGCCTTGATGAATCCTTGGATGATTGTGACATACCCTAGAAACAATATTCTATTCTCCCCAGAAGCAGAAACATTTACCTCATTAAATGATGATACACTTCTGAGGTGATTAAAACCAAGATCTAGAAGCTTCAATTTGGTGCACTTCCGGAGATTATCCACTTTAGCAAACTTGTTCCTGCTCAAATCTAGCGTTTCAATAGCAGGGAGGAGCTGTAAGGATTCATCCATGAGAAGCAAGCCATTGCAAGCACAGGAAACAAATGACAAACGGTTCCATTGACGTGAGACCTTTATATCTGCAATCCTACTTGCAAAGACATGCCGTAGTGCATTCTGAAACAGCCAAGTGAAAATGAGCTTATTTATTTCACAAAGAAAAAGTAGAATGTGGAAGATAAGTTTATTATTATTTTTCATAAGTTACAACATGCCTTGCATTTATTGGTAACTTTATAAGAGAATTAGGCACCTCACCACCGTCAGGCTGAAATGTTAAACTAATGATTTTTGTATAAAAAATCAAATCAGGGAACGGAACTGACAGTTGAATTATGACATATCAACTTCTCCAGAGTATGTCTGAGCTCGAGAAGTCCTCGGGCAGCAGAAGTAGACAGGTCACATCCTCTAAGCTCCAGAACCTTCAACCTGGCAAAAGGCAGCAACGAGAGCGGGGAGGGGTCCCTAGCCGGGGGTGGCAGCACGGAGACGACCTTCAGCGAGGGGAGGCGGCAAAGAATCCGACGAAGCTGCTCAAGAGCTCGGTGGTCACCGAGATCGGAGACGTAGGCGCGGAGGTAATCCACGGGAGCACCGGCAAGAAGGGTTTCCAACTCGGCGAGCGCCTCAAGCCTGGAGCAAACGTAGTGAAGGCCTATAGGATTGAGCTTGAGGACAAGAGAAGCTTCGATCAACGGCTCGGCGTGGCTGTCGACGAACTTCACCAGAGACTCCAGGTAGCGATCTCCAGTTACAAGCGTCATCGCGAGGGAATTCTGATGGAACCGACCCTTCAATTAGGGCTTTGACGTTTCGAAACAGGCATTAATTACGTACAGGGGATAGAAATGGGAGGGGGGATCCGTCGGTTAAGTACATGAGAACGGAGGTTTGGGAGGAATAGAGAGAAGATAAACTGCCATAGGTTCGACTGCGATGATGATTATTGATTTGCACAAGACCAGAGGAGGTGGGTGTCCAAGGAACGAACATATGTGCCGGCAGACACGTGGCGTATGTCTGTGGGGCCATAACTTGCTGGCTGGCACTACTTGGCCTGTGTGACTAAACTTTACCGTCCGGACTAAGGGGTGTTTGGATCTGATTCTCAAAACGGATTCTGCTCCTTCAAGGAGTAGAAGTAGAAGCTGGAGTGTTTGGGTGAAATTCCAAAAGCACTTTTTGTGCTCTAATTTACTCTCAGAATCAGTTTTTTTAGAAGTTGGGGGTACCAGCTTCTGAAAACTGATTCTAATTCTACTTATGCTTTAAAAAAGAAGCAGAAGCAGAATCAGTTCCAAACACCCCCTAATCCTGCACCATTTGTGTTGCAGGATGTATCTTTTTAGGGATGTAAAAAAAACCCGACCCACAATGACCCGCCCTGGCACGAGACATTTGGGGCGGACTAAGTATGCATATTTTTTCTTAAATTATACTACAAATATACTTCAACATACATATGTGTGTATACAATAAATCATAATTTTTTTATCTTACAATATATTAATATATATATATATATATTAGAATGAGATGAACGACGCATTATCACTGTCTTCTTTATATATAGCATTTTAATACATATATTCAATTATTAATATAATTAAATAGATAAACTATTCAAGTCTGAGTAATTTTTCCTTAAATTTTGAAATTTTTAGCGTATCGTGAATTTGATTTAATATATTAATTTTTAATTATTATTTAGAGATAAACTTTATGTAGATTCAATATATGGGTAACAACTTCCCACAAATAAAAATAGAGATTTTACCCTAAATAGGACTAAAAACGTTTGTAGATTCCAAAATGGGATTGCCATGTTTTTAATTCCCAAAATGGGACTAATTACTGTCATGTTTTGGCAGTACCAGACTTTAAACATGGCATATTTTCCAAACTTGACAGTAATTACTTCTATTTTAGGAATAAAAACACGGCGGTCCTATTTTGGAATTTACAAACGTTTTTTTTGTCCCATTTCAGGAACTTTCCCATAAAAATACATACTAGCAAATTAGGTTACGACGGGGCGGGGCGGACTAGCCCCACCCCGCATAGGGCGGGTCATGGGTCAACAAGTTTAGACCCGTGCAGGTCCCGGGGCGGGGCGGACCCGCCCCGCCAAGTCACGGGGCGGGTCCGGGTCTTGCAGTACCCGCTCCAACCCATTGCCATGCCTAATTTTTTTGTTAGGATTTAAGGGGTCTTTCAAACTCATTCTGTTTCTGCTTCTTTTTTAAAGCAGAAACAGAATCAGAATCGGTTTTTCAGAAGTTGGTCTCCCTTAAATTCTAAAACATGACTCTATGGATAAATTAGAGCACCAGAATCACTTCTGCACTTTCACCTAAACACTCAAACTTTTGTTTCCGCTGCCTGAAGAAGCAGATGCGGTTTTAAGAATCAAATCCAAACACCCCCTTAATGGACTTAACTCATTTATGGTATATAAATTTGACGCATTAATCCTTTTGTGATTTAAAAAATGTGTTATAGTGGAGGCGCAAGTGAGAGATCATATGACTATTTGTGTTATTAGAATTCTTCTATCATAATCAAGTCGCACGGTGAAGAAATTCAAGTTTGAAATTGTTTGGACTCGAGAAGAAAAATGTCGAAATGTGGTGCAGAGCAGTTGGCATGCGGTTTATAGCCTATTGTTTGGACTCGAGAATATTTTTTGTAGGAAAGAATTGCTATGATGGGAGAGTAGTAGAAAGAAAGATTATAGACGCCAAATTGAAGCATGTAAGAGACAATTAGCATCGTTGCGGTAGAAGTATGCATGGTAGGCGAAGTGTATGTGAGATCCATGTTGACTAGTTTGTTGGAGCATAAAAACATGTACTAGAAACAAAAAACAAGAGTTCTGGCTTCGAGAAGAAGATATCGACTCACGTTTCTTGCATAATGCGGTTAAGCAAAGGAGAAGGAAGAATAGGATGATGGGATTAAAGAGGTCGGATAATTCCTGGACTGAGATGGGAGCAATTGTGCATGACTACTTCTCAACGTTGTTTCAATCTATTAAGAAGGTAGAGATTCCCGCAGGGGTTGGCATCTTCTCGAGGGTATTGGAATCTCATAACCATATGCTATTAAATGAGTAGGCTGTCTTTTATATGCATCCGGGCAAGGCACTTGGAGCTGGCGCCATGAATCCAACTTTCTTCCGGGCATATTGGGATATTGTTGGTTCGGATGTCTACACATTATGCTTTTCTATCTTTCAAACGGGTACATTTTCTAAGGATTTAAATATTACAAATATTATTTTAATTCCTAAAAAGGATAAGCCGGAGAATATGAGGGATTGGAGACCAATAGCTATGTGCAATGTTCTCAAAAGTTTTAGCTAATCAGCTAAAAGGGATTTGGCTTCTCTGGTAGGGGAAAGTCAAAGTGTATTTAGGATGTTTTCACTTGGACTGTTTTCAGTCTCAGACCAGACCAGACCAGATCAGACTTGGACATTAATAAATTACACAGAGACCATACATTTACCGGTCCAGACCAGAAAGTTTCTGTCCAAGTAAAAGCATTCTTATACCACAACGTTCAATAGTGGACAATATTATGATGGCTTTTGAAACCCAACATTATATTAAGAGGAAAAGTCATGGTAAGGAGAGTTTTGTGGCACTTAAATTAATTATGAGCAAAGCATATGACCGGGTGGATTGAAGGTTTCTAAGGAAAATAATGTTCCAATAGGCTTCACTAATCGCTGAGTCCAGTTGATAATGGTGGGTGCGACGATGGCTAGTTACTAAATTCAGTTTGATAAAGATTTTTTGAGACCAATTATACAAGCACAGGGGTTACGACAAGGCAACCATTTATGATTTATCTCCTTATTTATTTATGCTGATTGCTAATGAGTTGAGTTCCATATTGAGAGGTGTAGAATTGAGAGGGGGGCTCCATGGTGTTGTTGTTTGGAAGGGAGCCCCACTGGTATCCCACTTATTATTTGTTGATGATAGTTTTCTGTTTTTAAAGCTACTACCAGTGAATGTGTGGTTGTTAAGCATGTTCTTGAGATTCTTATCTTGATTTATTACTTGATGATATAAGACAGATAATTCTAATAAAAACCAATATGCATATCTCTTTTTGTCAACTGTCTGCGGACTGCGAATCGTGTCGCCCATGCAGTAGCGAGGGCACATGTATCTCTCTCACATCATAGATGCAGCTATTATGTGGTTCCAATTTTCCTTGTAAACCATTTGACAAACTATATTCTTATTAATTAATAGAAGGTAGTTTATGACAAATAAAATGTGTTATAATTATTCATGAGTGAAACTCCCTATATGAACAAATTTATTTATCAAAATAAATGAGAAATAATTAGTATTTTTGTATAATTTAGAGATCTTGATAAATTTATTTGCACATTTAACCATAATATTAAGACAATTCATTTCCAAATTATTGAATTTGTTCTTGGAGAGGATTTTGCGCATGAATAAATATAACACATGGGTTTGTCGCATTTTTATAATCATGAGGGGTTAATATGCCGAATTTATATATCAGTTTGGTGGACTAAATCCTTTCTTGTTAAATTGAGCTACTTCTGATTTCCTGGGATAAATCTTGGCTCTCAAGATTTCTTGATGATGATGTAATAGTTTTGATGATACCACCCCTTTTTATTTATCACTGTATTAGACTAGTCTACTACTTATGTTTACTTTGTTTATTTGTAATGTGCTCCATATAATAGTGGTAAAGTACTCATAAAAAGCAAAGAGTACTAAAAAGAGAAGTTAAACGTACATTAAAACAAAAGGAAAAAGATAAAAAAAAGAAAAGGTACGAAAAGAGTTAACTGGTATCCATTGAAAAGGAAGCCTACCGGAAAAACCCAGATTTCGGCAGCCTGCTCCCAAACTTGGCAGCCAGCTGAAATCTGGAAATCCAGTCAAAGCATCCGAAATCCAATTCTCTCTTCTCTTAGCACAAAACACTTAAACAAAAGACCAACTTGCAGTCAAAATAACAATTTGATAAAAAGTAAATATATAAGAGATTTTAATCACATTATAAATTTCTTGTAAATTTATTTTACTAAAAGCAAGTGTTCGATATTTTGTTAGGAAGCATTGAAATATCACTCGACTTTATACTAGTTTCTACTCGTGAAAATAAAGGTAAAATATCTTTTATCAAAATGTGTAAACAAGTTGAGATGAAGATTGTTGATCCGTGTCACTACGTGACAAAGACAAACCATGCTGCCTCAGACAAGTGGAACAAAGCAAGTAGATCAAGCTACGGTCAAGATTCATTTCCTCAGCCAACGGTGGAGATGCAATGATCAAGTCTATAAATACAGAAGGAGTGGGATTACCAAGCGTAGTAAAACGAGAGGAGCCAAGTGGATAGAAGGAAATCATACTCTACACGAAGAAATCCAGCTAGCTGATTTCCCTTCTACACTTTGGCTGCCACCCCACTCGTCTAATGCTCTTAGACTAGCTACAATCCATACAAATCTATAGAGCTTAGATTAGTTGGTAGTTTAACAATACACCCATGTATTATCGACTAGTGTTAGACATTCTGGAGGACTTTGTGATCAAATCCAGAAGGTGAGAAAGGACAAGGACATGAGTAGCTCTTGGCGATTCAATGCCATTAGTGAAAAACCTTGGAGGACTGAGTAGCTTGGAACGGTGTTCAAGTTCCTTGTGAAAAAACTCACAACCTACGTCTGGGTCAAGGGTAGGTTGGGGCACTAAATGTAATGAGATATTCATTTAGTGGAAATCCATCTGAAATAGGTTGGGACTGGATGTAGGAGGATTACACCACCTCTGAACCCATATACATTGTGTGTCATCTTTACATTCTGCTCCTAACACATATTCAGTACTCACTCACCTTCACAACGTCACAGCAAAACAACTTGCTCACTAAAACTGTCCAGTGAACTTTCCGAGTTC